TGAAAAAGAACAAGATTGAAAAATTGTGGCCTTCATACATATCAACTCATTGCCATTCTACTGGAGTGACCTCGGAATTTGAAGTAGTGATGAGAATGCCGAGCCAATGTTTAAAAAAAGGGTGACCAAACACAAAACAGGTGAAGGTATGCAATGTGAATACAGAACCAAATGCAAGCAAAGTCAACAACAATAAATGTCCTAATTGTAATAAGTTATTCCTTTGTAAGAAACCTTTTCAGAAGCATCTAAACAGTAGAAAGTGCATAGAAAGAAAGAACTTGTCAAAGATGTTGGAAGAGACATCAATTCCAGTAGTGCAAGCATTAGGACTTGCTAATGAGGTTTAATAAATCTATGTTACTGCAGTCTACTTAAAGGAAGTGCAATGAAGACGAAGTTGAGGAAAAACATTCGTTTTACAGCTGAACAAAAAAATTAATGGAAAGATGCTTTAATGTAGGGGAGTAGGACAAAACGAATAAACACATGGCCAAGACTTGCAAAAAATTCATGCAGGAAAAGCTGGGAAAGGAAATGACATTAACCCAGTGCCAAATCAAAAGTTATTGGAACATGTACAAAAGAAGGAAGAGTAACCAATAATTGACAGTGTATATTTACTAATAATGTGAACACAAATTAAACATATATTTAATTAAATTACTATTGTCAGTGTAAAATGATTTGAATATCACAAAATATAATGTACAGTTTCTCTGTTTGAAAAAATATGCGAACCAAAAATTAAGCATAATTAACAACAGAGGGTCACAACAGGCTATGTTACCATGCAACTTCATGTAAATCAAGTTTTAGGTAACATGAGCTTTATGGGTTTTGCGGAATGCCACATATATATTTATTGCAAAGCATTTGTTAAGTTATAATACAGTTTAATAATTAGTCTGTTGCTGTATATCGATATACCGATAATTATCGTTTTTTTTATAAATACCGATTACTCGATATTGAAATTTTCGATATATCGATATTTTTCGGTATTATCGATATCACATTTACGTTTGTATATTGATTGGAGTTCTTTCAGAAGGACAAAGATGATCAATGTGCTAACTCCGCGGTAAAATCTGTAAATTAAGGTTAGAGCGAGATCTATAGCATGTTTGTTGATATATGTTGGCGTTGCAAGGTGTAATATGTCATTTCTTGCTTGCCAAGAAATGAACTTTTAGAACGTAAACAACCACCGGTGGATTACAAATGTTTTAGAAAAACAAAAATTAACCTCATTGGACATGAGTGTGATAGGACCATAGATATCTTATATACACTAGATAGCGAATCTCTTTTAGTAAAATTGAAGCCAAGAATATTCCAGCAGATGTGGTTAAATAGATGGCGGCCCATGTTGGCCGTTCCCACTTGCTAATAAATGCTCAAAAACGACAATAACTTTCATCATTTGAATAGTTTAAAAACGTATTTGGAATAGGGTTAACTTAATGTTGAAGTTCCCTGTTTAAGAAATAGAAAACATAAGAATCTCCTCATTTCATGGGAACAACCTGAGACTGCAATCACAGCTTCAATTTTTGAATTGCAGAATGAGATGCACTATCTACAATCGGTGACAAAAGGTTTTTGGACAGTGGTATAATATATACATATCTCCGCTTTTCCAAATACTGTTCAGCATAAAGCCACTATCCTTCTCTCCCCCACCCTAAACAATGTTGGGTGGCTGGCAAGGAACATGTTGCGCAGGTATTTCCACACACAACATTGAACGGGGGTGCAGGGGGTCGATTATGTTGTAAACGTACGCTGTTTAGCTATTTTGTCCAAAGTGTTTTGTCACTTTTTGTCCGAAATGGTATTTTAAGCCAAATTAAAATTTCAGTTATTGAAGCTAGAATTACTTGTATTTTATAGTACTACCAATGATGTTTACAAATATAATAGATACCATGTTTGGGTGAGCGTAAACATGGTTAATTTGTGAATACATTGTATGTTATTATTCTAGTTTAATCATAATGCGTTCATGCACATTTCCAGAACCAGTCCAACATTGGGAATTTCGTAGTTTGGAACTGCAAGCGAAACTAGTAGAGCAATCTGGAATTTAGGGCAGGTAAACACGTTCGGAAGCAAATGGAATTATCTTTAAGTGCTTATTACGTTACTTTTGTGGAGAATGTAACGTCATCGGTAACATCCGGATTAATCTCAAAGCTGTAGTATTATAAAGCGCACAGTATGCATGCTATAAATAAGAGCTAGTTATATAGAAACAAAGTAATAATGGCATATAAAAAAACTATTTCAGATACAATGCGAGCGTATGTGCTATTTCTTGGTAAAGAGAAACAATATTCCTGCAGAGCGATTGCTAAAAAAGCAAGAATATCTAAAGCATCAGTCTCTCTTATTCTGAGAGAAAAAGTTCAGTGCAAGCAAGATTTGAAAACATGCAAGAAAATTGGTAGACCAAAGAAACTGTCAGATAGAGATCAGAGAAAATTAATAAGAACAATAAAAACTCTGTGTGATAAAGACCCAAATTTTACTGTTAAGCGCTTGGTTGCGCACAGCGGACTGCTGTCATGTGATATTTCGTATCAGACATTTTATTGAGGTGAAAGCAGCTGGATTTGATTATCTACCTGCGCGTAAAAAGGGGGTTTTAACAAGCCGTTGATCACACGAAAAGAAAGTCGTTTGCGCAACAATGCAAGAAGATCCTTTCCACAAAGCCCGGATTCTTCTCGCGAAATATTGCCTTCTATTTAGACGGGGTTTCTTTTGTTTATAAGACACAGCCTCTTAGTGACGTTTTAGCCCATAGAGGGCGTGTATGGAGAAGAAAGAGCGAGGGTTTACAATTGACGGCAAAAGGATCTAAAACCCTTGCGGGTGGAAAACGGCTTCACTCACTGGTCGCAATTTCTCACAACAATGGGGTTGTATTGGTAGAAGAATATGAGAAAATGACCGGTACCTATTTCGCTGAGTTCGTAAAAAAAATCATTTCGCGCAAGCGTGGAAGAAAATGGTTCATAATGGACAACGACCCGTCTCAGCGAAGCCTAGCAGCTGAGACCACTATAAAGGAAGAGGGATGTGAGTTATTTTGTATCCCAGCGAGATCTCCAGACTTAAATCCAATAGAAAACATGTTTCACATAGTTAAGAAGCAGCTTGATGCTCAAGTTAGAGACTCACAGATTGTGTGTGAGACATGGGAACAATTTAAGACTAGAGTTATAAAAACTTTATATAATGTTTCTGTAGATTATGTAAATAATATTATCACAAGCATGCCTAAGCGAATACACGCTGTATTGCAGGCTGACGGCTTTAGAACAAAATACTGACAAAGTTACTATGACAACGGATTGTACATCGTATTTCCATGTCAACAAATCCCACACATGTTCACGTAATAATTTCCATATTTTCTCACATGTATAAGATCGTTGTTGGGAATTTAAACACACAGTTGCGTGCGTAAGGAATACATTAATATTTTGGCTTCAAATATGTGTGCGTTTTGTTATAACAGACAGAGAAAATGGGTTAAAATTCAACGAATGCCACTTTTCTATTTACTAATTATGATGTCATATTTCAACTTACTATAAATAGTGGGAATCGTTCGACGAATGTCGGAATTTCATGGAATCAAATTGATTTCGCTTGAAGTTAACCACATAATCAATTCCTTTGACATATTTACAAGAGAGAAAAACAGCAAGAATTGTTGAACTTAGTTCCCTTTTCTACATAAAATGTGACTGGGATTCGTTGATGCATCATAAGCCACTTAGTTAGGGATGACCAGATACATATTTGTTAACACCTTAATGTAGGCTACATTAAATTAAAATACATCATTATAAATCACTGTTCAGCATATAATATTAACTCAGCAAAGCATTGAGCGCAAGCCGCAATGTTTCTTTGTTCATCACGCGGAATTTGTCTGTGAAGCGGAAACATTTGCCATCTTACTTTCATCATTTCTGTGTTCACCCGATCAATAGATCCATTGTTAATTAAAATAAGTGGGGCGTCACTCGTTGCAAAGAATGGCGTGTCCCTCTCGAGAACAATGTATTTTCTCATCTGATTTTTCGGGGCTGGAAAATTAACCGTGTCACCTTCTAAGACCTGCAAAAACTCGCACCACGGTATAAGGGATGGTTTCCCCAACCCTACATTTTAAGCCATTTATACGTGTATGAATTTATACCTATATCATCACGCTTAACTGAAATTACTTTATTTTGAGCCGACCAGCCAAATAATGGGTAAACACTTGTTCAGGTACTTGGTAAATTTAGACTTTTTAATCAAGGCTGAACATGTAATAAATACTTGATATTTATGATACAATATTCTACCAGTTGCATACAATCAGTGACAAAAGGTTTTTGGACAGTGGTATAATATATACATATGTCCACATTTCCAAATACTGTTCAGCATAAAGCCACTATCCCTCCCTCCCCCCACCCTAAACAATGTTGGGTGGCTGGCAAGGAAATTTTGCGCCACACACAACATTGAACGGGGGTGCGGGGGGTCGATTATGTTGTAAACGTACGCTGTTTAGCTATTTTGTCCAAAGTGTTTTGTCACTGATTGTAGTGTATATAAGATATCTATGGATAGGACAACCTTTGTTTCGAATTCGCAGTTGAATAAAATGTTTGGAAACAAATAGTTCCCGGTCAAAAATATCAAACATGAGTTATCCAGTGCGGTAATCAATGCAAATATGCATTTTCAATTTCTAAAGCGGACATTTCACAGGCTACTGATCACTGGCCTCACACTTTATTGAAAATATCACACACCCGATGAGTCAAAGCTGTTATATATCTGAGATATTGAAGATGGCGGATGCAATACTTTGTGGAGCGTAATCGAGATGAAATTACTGTGATTAGAAAGAAGTATTTGTATAATTACTCTGGTAAATATTTTTATTAAACACTCAAGTTATATATTTTAATATCAAATCAAAAACAATGTCTGGAAAGAAAGAGAAAAAAGTGGTCGTTCCCTCCATGATCGAAATAAGTCCCGATAGCACGTGGTCAAGATATCAAATCGATGAATTCAAAACAACGAGACACAATAAACCAGTCTTGTTTGAAGAGCTTGATTACTCCATATATAAATCTTCTGCATACATGGTAGGTTTCAAAATGTCGGAAGAGAGGATAGTATTATGGATACAGGCGTTCTATTATCGATACTACACTGGTCTTCAGAATAAATGTTTGAAACTACGCTGGGAAGAACAACATGCCTCGCTTCGCTCAGCATGCAATTATGCAAAGGGAAATCCGATCAGATTTGTGCATAATTTGCAATAATAAATAATCGGAGTGGATTACATCGTGGATTACAAATTGAATTGTAGGGAATGTTACTTAACTATAGCTGAAATGAATAATGTGCAGAAGTTTAAATTGGCAATCAATAGATCCATTAGTTCTAAAGGAGGTATTCTGGCCCATATGATCAATGATAGCCAGCTTACCAGTTACATCATGGACAAGATGCAAGACTTTGCATTAAGAGATGGCAAAGAAGTTATTGCTAGTTTGGTGATCGGACGTCAACCAAATTTTCGTACTGTTGACATTGGAGGTGAATTTGTAGACAAAGACGATCCTACAGCTGTAACAACTACAGTAGACGATCCAGACACGGCAGTCTATGTATTGAACGATAAACTGCAGGTAAATTACATGCGAACGAGTGGTATGTTAATTTAGATAGGAAACTATTTAACTTAACGGTTTTTATTGATTTTATACTGTTGATCACCATATTCTGCTAGAAAATTTGGAGTTTTATGGAATAAAAGGACTATCTCTTTTGTTTCTAAAATCCTAGCTAACAAACCAACGCAAAAAAGCTACATCGGAATTTACTGCATTCAAACCTACAACCGTAAATTATATCTCTCATTTATTATAAAACGCGTGGATTATCAAGCAATAAGGCGATCGGAATTGATAAAATTTCGTTTAAAATTATTAAGTTTTATCAGCAATAAGCACAATAATGGAACGAATTCTGTATAATCAACTATACAATTATTATAAGTAATAGCATGGCATTCAGGTCGATTAGTGATTAAGGGACATTTCATCACTAATCGACCGTAATGCCATGCTATTACTTTGTAATATCATAGTTGCCGAGGGAATTGCGCGTGGTGTGTTGCCTGTTTTGAATGCTGTTTGATTGTCTTATGATTGTGGTATGAACACTTTTCATATATACGCACGCGCAGAAACACATCTCCGTGTTCATTCGTTTTAGGCATGCACATAAACGGAATTTTCTCCCACAATTGTAATGTTCAAGATTAGGGAATAAAAGCTGGCAAAGTGATTGTTCGAATGTGTACGGGACGGTGTCGTCAGATACTGTCCATAGTTGTGCCGATGATTTTCGATGAGGTACAGCTCTCCAATTAGAAGTAATGAGGTACGCTTTTGTCTTCTAAATTTCCCTCATCAAGCATGCAGGGGAAAATTAGAAGACAAAGAAATGCTTTGTTTTCAACTAAATTTACCGGGTAAATTTAGAAGACAAAGTGTATGCATGGGTAATGAGGTAAATTAGTGATTAATCGTACCTCGCGAGACAAAGGATTTCGAGGCAACTATGATATTATTTAACCAAATTCGGATTACTAATGTCTCAAAAACGCTCAGGTACATTAATGCCTGGGTCTCAGTTTGTGTATTTAGCGAAAATAAACAAAAAATCGTAAAAATAAGTATGGCCTAGATTATTACCATTCAAGCTTTATATGATTTATCAAAGGAGATTCTAAAAGATGACCTACTTTTCGTTGTCATCGCAACGATCACGTGATGTATATTTCGAAAAACAACACAAAGAATGATACTTTTTATTCAGAGGCTCTGCAGCAGTATATTTCGCAACTGAGAGGACGCAGAATTGCGATAATCATTCACACATAATATCATTGTTTATTGAATAAATTCGGAAAGTTTACATTTAGGCTTCGTTTCATTATTTTATGCGGCTATATTTCGATGATCGGCATCAAACGAATGTTAATCGCGTCATTAAATGTTATCTACAAATAAATG